CTTTGAATACAGCGGCTTCAGCAGATACGGCCGGACCCACGGGGAAGCATCAGTTTTGTCGTCTGTTTTCCTGGCGCCATCAGATGTCCGTGGTCCCGTATCAACTTCAGGGTCAATGTGCACTAACGCCCACAAAAGCTCGGTGCTGTTTTAACTGGGTTGAGCCTCCCTTTTGAATGAACCTGTGGAGAAATGCTATCTTTATGATGTGAAGTCGTCCTGTCAGAACAAGGCCTTGGCCCCTTTGTTTGAGTCTGTGTTGGGTCCTTCAAGAATACTCCTAGGCTGGGTACAGTGGCTCAATCACGCCTGTATTCCCAGCACTTTGGGAGGCCGAGGCGGGAGGATGGCGGGAGGACGGCGTGAGCACAGCAGTTCCAGACCAGCCTGGATAACAGAACGAGACCGTCTCTACATGTTTTTAAATGAGCGTGGTGTGGTGGCGTGCACCTGTAGCCGCAGCTACTTGAGAGGCTAAGGAGGAAGGATCGCCGGAGCCCTGGAGGTCAAGGCTGCAGTGAGCTGCGACCACACCACTGCTCTGCAGCCCGTAGGGCAGAGTCCGTGTCTCAATAAAAAGGTTTTAAAGTTTTCTCATGTAGGCTTTATACATTTCCTGATGTTTATTTCTAAGCATTGTTTATTGCTATTAAATGTTCTCTACGATTATATCACGTCACTGGGTGTTGACTGTGTAGATGAAGACCGTCTAATTTCACCTCCTCTAAATTACATGTTTTTATTGATGGATTTTTACAGGGCTTTCCATGTACATCATACGAATATGAGAGTTTTCTGTTTGCAATTCTGTTTTGAATTAATTTATCTTACCCAACTGCATTAGGTAACATTTCCAGTACACACACACACACACACAGACACATACACATACATATACGTATACAACACACAAATATACACACATATAAATACACAACACACATATATACACATACATACATACACACATATATTCAAACATACCTACAGATACAGGTGTCCTAAGAGAGCATTCACCAATTCCTATTTTTTTTCTGAGACGGAGTTTCTCTCTTGTTACCCAGGCTGGAGTGTAATGGCGTGATCTCGGCTCACTGCAACCTCCGCCTCCTGGGTTCAGGCAATTCTCCTGCCTCAGCCTCCTGAGTAGCTGGGATTACAGGCACGCGCCACCATGCCCAGCTAATTTTTTGTATTTTTAGTAGAGACGGGGTTTCACCATGTTGACCAGGATGGTCTCGATCTCTTGACCTCGTGATCCACCTGCCTCGGCCTCCCAAAGTGCTGGGATTACAGGCGTGAGCCACCGCGCCTGGCCCTGGTTATCTTTTAGTTGTTTTTTGAGACAGAGTCTCGCTCTATCGCCAGGCTGGAGTGCAGTGGTGCAACCTTGGCTCACTGCAACCTCTGCCTCCCGGCTTCAAGTGATTCTCCTGCCTCAGTCTCCCAAGTACTGGGACTACAGGCGTGTGTCATCACACCCAGCTTATTTTTTTTTTTAGTAGAGATGGCGTTTCACCACGTTGGCCAGGATGGTCTCAATCTCTTGACGTTGTGATCCACCCACCTCGGCCTCCCAAAGTGCTGGGATTACAGGTGTAGCCACCATGCCTGGCCTTTTTTTTTTTTTGAGGTGGAGTCTCACTGTTGCCTGGGCTGGAGTGTAATGGTGCAGTCTCAGCTCACTGCAACCTCTGCCTCAGCCTCCCACATAGCTGGGATTACAGGCGCCCACCACTACGCCTGGCTAATTTCCACCATGTTGGCCAGACTGGTCTTGAACTCCTGATCACAAGTGAGCCACCCACCTCACTCTCCCAAAGTGCTGGGATTACAGGCATGAGCCACCACACCCAGCTGTATACTTCTTTAGTAATTAAAATATATGTACTTAGCTTTTCCAGTCTTTCTGGGATATTTTGCCACTGAAATGGAGCACGGACCTCCACACCATCCAGCCACGTTACCCCACCCCTTGATGCTGCAGTTGTCTTATGTATTAAATATACATAAATGGAAGCCCCATGTGATGATTTTTGGTTTTGCAATCATGCATATTTTAAAGAACTCGAGTAGAATACTCTATTTCCTCAGACATTTGCCATTTCTATTGCTTTTCCTTTGTTCCAGGTTTCCTTCTGGTACAATTTATCTGCTTTAAGAGTCTTCTGTAACCATTTATTTAAACCAGGTCTTCAGGCGATTATTCTTTTTATCATATCGTCCCTAAAGGACACTTTTGCTGGATACAGTATTCTGGGTTGGCATTTCTTATTTCAGAAGTTAAAAATGTTGCTACACTTCCTGTTGGCCTTTATGGCTTCCGAGGAGAAACCTGATCCACTGAACTATCCTCCTAGAAGCACTGTGTCCGTTTTCCCAGCCTCCTTTTAAGGCTCTCTCCCTGTAGCTTTCCCCAGTTTCATCATGGTAGGTTTGGGCTTGGTTTTCTTTAGGTTTATCATGTTTGTAGCTCACTGAACCTCTTGAAACTGTAAGTTTATATCTTACACTGAACAAGAGAGGTTTTTCATGTTGTCAAGTGGTTTGACTACACCCCATTTTCTCCTTTTCTTCTAGGATTCTGAGGTCACGAACACAGCTGTTTCATAGCATTGCGCTGCTACCTAAGGCTGTTGCTCATATGCTGATTAACGTGAGATCATGGACACTTTTGAATTTTACATTATGACATGCTGGCTCTTTCAATCCCACGGGTAATGGAGATATCTGTTAATCAGGTGAGTCACCTAGTTAGGTTTGGCCAGCAAGTTGTAATGAACCTTGTGTGGGTTGTGCTTTCAATGTGAATTCCCTTCTTGAAGGCTGTGCAGTGCTGCGCACGTCTCTCCTAGGAGTGGGGCCTGTCCACCTGCAGTGCAGCCAACCTCACAGGCCAGCTCTGAAGGCTGAGGCCTCTGCTGCTGCAGGACTGCCTGGACAGGACAACGGAATGGGAAAACCAAACTTTTAAATGTTCTCTTTCACTAGTGTTAGGGCACCTGTTTCCTACTGGCTGTGTGAAAACAGAAGGTGGCACGACGCTCCCACCTGAAGTCTAGTGGACGCTGGTGCCATGCTTCTGGGACCTCCTGGCCTTCAGAATTGTGAGCCAAATAAACCTCTTCCCTTCATCAAAACAACAACAACAAAAAAAAAAAACAGAGGTCTTGGCTGGGTGCGGTGGCTCATGTCTGTAATCCCAGCAGTTTGGGAGGCCAAGGTGAGTAGATCACCTGAGGTCAGGAGTTTGAGGCCAAGGTGGGTAGATCACCTGAGGTCAGGAGTTCGAGACCAGTCTGACCAAAATGGAGAGACCCCATCTCTACTAAAAATACAAAATTACCCAGGTGTGGTGGTGCATGCCTATAATCCCAGCTACTTGGGAGGCTGAGGCAGGAGAATTGCTTGAACCCAGGAGGTGGAGGTTGCGGTGAGTGGAGATTGTGCCAGGTACTCTGGCCTGGGTGAGGAAGGAAGGAAGGAAGGAAGGAAGGAAGGAGGGAGGGAGGGAGGGAGGGAGGAAAGGAAGGAGAAGGAAGGAAGGAAGGAAGGAAGGAATAAGGAAGGAAGGAAGGAAGGAAGGAAGGAAGGAAGGAAGGAAGGAGAAGGAAGGAAAGAAGGAAAGAAAGAAAGAAAGAAGAAAATAAAAGAACCAGAGGTCTTGCAAAAATTTTCTGTCCATAGCGGGAAAAATGAAATGAGACCTCTACAGTTACCATCAATCAAACTCAACTCCAGATGGAGTAGGCACAGCAGCCTGGGGTGAAACAAACACTGTGGGAGCCAAGGCTGTGATCCCAGCGCTTTAGAGGCTGAGGTGGTGGATCACTTGAGGTCAGGAGTTTCAGACCAGTCTGGCTAACATGAAAACCTGTCTCTACTAAAAATACAAAAATCAGCTGGGTGTGGTGGCAGGTGCCTGTAATCCCAGCTACTTGGGAGGCTGAGGCAGAAAATCGCATGAACCCAGTAGATGAAGGGTGCAGTGAGCTGAGGTCATGCCTGGGCCACAGACTGGGACTCTGTCTCAAAAAAAAGCCAAAATACCACAGCATATTTAAGGCCTTGAAGTAAAATAAAGTTTCTGATAAAGGTAAAAGCCGTATACATTTGAGTATGCCAAAATGAAGAAATCTTTTTCCTTAAAACACCATCACAAAAGTGGAAACATGTCAAGTGGAAACCTCTACAATCTTAGAAGCCACAAGTGGTGACTCACCTCACAGCAGACAAATCAGGAAAAAACAAGACCAGGTATTTCATCCAAAGAGGAAAACAGCCAGCGTAAAGCACGTTCATATTACCAGTCATTAAGAGAAATGCAAAGCAACACCCCAGGGAGGTGCTGTTTCACAGCCACATTGGAAACAATGTCCCTCCCTCATAAGGACGGACAAGCAGAGAGAAGGAATAAACGGCTCAGGAGCCCACATGGCAGCTCTTACAGATAGTCCCAGAATCCCCTGGGGTTGGTAAGCCCGTCATGGGGCAGGTGCTTGGGTAGAAAGACCTGCGGGGAGAGAAACATGGCCGGGGCCTAGATGGGAATGCGTAAGGGTGACTGAGTGAATACACACAGGTTCCTGACATGGAAAGTGTATCACTCACAGTGTCAAGAGAAGGGGGCATATCACTCCAGGCAGGGCCCAAGGGGAGTGGCAGAGCTGGGCAGGAGGCAGAAGGAGGCAGGGAGGCGGAGCCCACAGCCCTTTACTGGGTTTCCCCAGGGAAGGCAGGGCAGGGCAGGGCAGGATGGTGTCTGGGGCTGGCTAGCCTCCATACTTCCAGCAGGCCAAGGGCACTTTGGGGAGAAGGGATATAGGCTTGGGGTGTCAGCTGGAGAAAGGAAGCAGTGGTTGATTTGCATCTGAAGTGAGCATTCCCAGCAAGCTGGTCACCATCTTTAGGAATTACCATCCCTGAGGGACGGTCTAGCCCCCACAGCAAGACCCCGGGGTGAAAAGCATCCTAATAGACGAAAAATACAACACAACACAATGGGTCCTTTCATGCTTTACCTGATGCCGAGGAACACTCAGATGTCGAGGTGAGGCTCACACAGGCGGAAGACGTTGTGCTAATAGCATGGAAAACATTCTGAGTAAGGAGAAACGCGGGTATCTGCGCGAGCAGTCCTGCCCATCACCCGCTCTTCCACGGTGCTGTGGGTCTGAGGCTGGGTAACTCATACAGAGGCCTATTTGGCTTATGGTTCTGCAGGCTGCACAAGAGACATGGCACTGGCACCAACCTGCTTCTGATTTTGCCATGTCAAACGGCAGAGAAGGTCAAGGGCAGTGAGCCAAACCCAAGGGACAGCTCGGCTTTATCACCACACTCACGGCAACTAATACATTCCCCTACCAACCAATCCAGTCTTGACAGAGCAGGAACTAACGGCACCCAGCCATCCAGGAGGGTGCCCCACGACCCAAACCCGGACCAGGCCCTCCTCACAGCCCTGCCACACTGAGGGCGAAACTTCAACACAAGACTTGGTGAGGACAAACCAATCACATCCACATCACAGCATGCGCTGTGACTCAAAGCGATCACTTTGAGATGTTGGGAGTTCAGTGGTAAAGGTGACAAGAGGTGAGCCCGACAGTGGTCAGGACGGCACGTCTGCCGCGGGAGGGCACCAAGTGAAGAGTGAGGCCATGTGAAGAAGAGGCTCTGTGTGACGCCGAGCCTAGGGGGTAAGGAGGTAACACCGGAAGCTGCAGGGGAGAGGAGGCGCTGGGAGAGTGGTCTCCCCGGAGGGTGAGCACCTGCTGACCGGAGGTAGGTCCTGCGGAAACAGAAACGTGTTATCAGTTACCAAGACTCCGCAGACCCTGCCAGACTCTCCCACAGGCATGGCGTGTGGGCTGCAGGTTCCGGCTGAGATTACAGTAGGATCACAGGCTGGCTGGCAGCAAGCTCAGGCTCCTCGCAGATTCTCACATGTCAAATCTGTGCCGAGGGACACTGGTCCATGGGCATCGCTTCTGAGGGGCTCTGGAGAAGTGGGTGAAGTCACCTCCTGTGAAGGGAGGGGAGTCATTTTTTTTTTTTGAGACAGAGTCTCGCTCTATCACCAGGCTGGAGTGCAGTGGCGCGATCCCAGCTCACTGCAACTTCTGTTTTCTGGTTTCAAGCAATTCTCCTGCCTCAGCCTCCCGAGCAGTTGGGACTGCAGGCAGGCACCACCACGCCTGGCTAATTTTGTTTTGTACTTTCTTAGTAGAGATGGGGTTTCACCATGTTGGCCAGGATGGTCTCGATCTCTTGACCTTGCGATCTGCCTGCCTCAGCCTCCCAAAGTGCTGGGATTACAGGCGTGAGCCACCGCGCCTGGCTGGGAGTCGTCTTAATAATGAGATCTGGGGCTGGGGTGATCTGGGGCTGGTCTCCACCAGCAGGGAGCATGTCAGGCAGGGTGGTGTCCGTGCTGCTGCGTGCTCAGGATGCTGTCACCATAAGTCCAAGCACCAGGACGGGCGTCACCTGAGACTCACAAGCTCTGGACTCAGGATGCTGTCACCATAAGTCCAAGCACCAGGACGGGCGTCACCTGAGACTCACAAGCTCTGGACTCAGGATGCTGTCACCATAAGTCCAAGCACCAGGACGGGCGTCACCTGAGACTCACAAGCTCTGGACTCAGGATGCTGTCACCATAAGTCCAAGCACCAGGACGGCAATTGTGTTTTCAGCCAATGAGGATGGCATCCGAGGCCCGGCCAGGAGCCGCCACAGCCCCACAAGGTGGTTCACACTCATCTGATGACCTCTGGTGTCGCTACCCACAATTAAAGGTGGCAACAGATAGGCTACACAGCCACACGCAATCCCAAAGGGAAACACCGCACACCCACTCCTCTCCATGGCAAACACGTAACGCAAAGGTGCACAGGTCTCTCCATCTAGGATTTATTGTTCACCTTGTAGATTACCTTCCTACTGTGGGGATTTAACACCAGTCACCAAGCAGATGCAGCCCTGATGGCCGTAAAATATATAACCCAAGGTGGCTGTAGCCAGGGGACACACACTGGAGTCACTCACACAGAAACCTTGCTCTGCTGCTGTGTGAGTTTAGGGCCTCATCCAGGAAGCGCCGGCGATGCTGCCAACTGCCATGGAAGCCAGGACCAGCTGTGTCCCCGCCTGTTTTCACGGCATGCAAAGGGGCAGCACACACACAAGCAGCTCCCTCCAAGAAAGGCCAGATCGCAGCAGCTGCCAGGACTGCTCTGCACACTGTAGAGAGGATCTGGAGGTCAACAGCGACACTCAGGGCTCTCACCCTCCTGAGGTACGAGAATTCCAACCTCCGTGAATGTGGGGTGCTGGCTCTCCCTCCACAGCCATGAAAGGGGGGCAGCTCCTGGTGCGGGCCTCTGACCTTGCCCCTCTCCACTCTGCCCCACCTTGCACCTGCTGTTTTATCTGGAGGGGTCAGGCATGGGAGAAGAACAAGGACATTTTCATAAAATGTGGAGCTGTGTGATGCCCCACCTTGGCCAGCGTGGGACCCTATAGGTGGGGTCACACCTAAGAGCACGACTAGCCAACCAAAGCCCACATGGCTGACACAGGATGGCATCTGAATCCTCAGGCTGAAACTCGGACTGTGTAATAACCAGACTGGAAGATTTCTACTGGAACTGAGCCATCACTCCAAGAAGGATCTGCGCAGCATCATAAAGGTTCAAACTACATCTACAGAACCCCCGGAAAGACATGTCTCTGTTCAGTTCACAAGGAAGCGATTCCTATCTTCCGTACATTCACAATACTTCAAGTGTCAATCCCCGCGTTTACTAAAGGCTGAGGAACGATGTCACGTGAAAACGACCTCCCAACAATCCTCACCTTCTTAAGGTTTTCTCCAATGTGACACCACAAAGGATGGTCACAGCACTGTGCAGAGCCTCAAAGCAAAGCACCTATCACACATCAGCAGGGTCCTCGCGACTGGATCCCGTCCGTATTTTGCAGGACCTGAGAACACGAGGGCTTCCTCTGTCCTGTTCTAGGCCTCCGGGTGCCTTCCTGCAGTCAGGCTGTGATCAGATGCTGACGGCCTGGCCACGTTCCTCAGGTCATGGGCACCAGGGAGCAAGACATCTTTCATGTCTTCAGCATGAGCGAATGTAACTGAGGGCTTCCCCAGTTTCCCTATATTAGTAAGGTTTCTCATTACTGTGAATTTGAGTGTGATGGTTAAGGCATGAGGAATTCTTAAAAGACTTTCCACAGTCCTCACATACAAAAAGCTGCGCTTCAGTGTAAGTTTTTAAATGTTCCTTTAGGAGATAAAACCGATTATATGCTTTCCCACAGTCCTTACATTTATAGGGTTTCTGTCCTGTGTGAATTCTCCCATGTTTACGCAGGTGAGAGGAGGCACGGAAGGCCTTCCCACATTCGTTACATATGTAAGGCTTCTCTCCTGTGTGAGTCCTTCTGTGTTCAATGAGGTGTGAGGAGGAAGCAAAGGCTTTTCCACACTCCTTACACATGTAGGGTTTCTCTCCAGTGTGGGTTCTTACATGCACGATAAGGTGTGAGGACGTGGTGAAGGCCTTTCCGCATGTTTTACACTGGTAAGGCTTCTCTCCAGTGTGAGTTCGCACATGTTCAGTTAGGCTCGAAGAAACGGTGAAGGTTTTCCCACAGTCCCTACATTCGTAAGGTTTTATTCCAGTGTGAATCTGAATGTGCTTATTCAGGCATGAGGAGTTTCTAAAGGACTTCCCGCATATCAGACATATAAAGGGCTTCTCCTCTGTGTGAGTTTTCACGTGTTCATTCAGTAGATAAACTCTGTTGTAGGCTTTCCCACAGTCCCTACACTCGTAGGGCTTCTCCCCGGTGTGTGTCCGCTCGTGTTTCGTAAGCCCTGAGCGCCCCGTGAAGGCTTTGCCACACTGCTTACATTCATAGGGTTTTTCTCCAGTATGGATTCTCACATGTTCAGTCAGGCTTGAAGAAACAGTGAAGGATTTCCCACAATCTTTACACTCATAGGGTTTCTCTCCAGTGTGAGTCCTGACGTGTTCAGTGAGGCCTGAGGATGTACAGAAGGCTTTCCCACAGTCCTTACACATGTATGGCTTCTCGCCCGTGTGTGTTCGAACGTGTCTAGTAAGGCCACAGCGCACAGTGAAGGCCTTCCCACAGTAGCTGCACGCATAGGGTTTTATTCCAGCGTGAATTCGAAGGTGATTATTAAGGCATGAGGAATTTCTAAAATATTTTCCGCAAACCACACATGCAAAGGGCTTCTCCCTCATGTGAGTTTTTAAATGTTCACTCAGTGGATAAAACCTGCTGTAGGCTTTCCCACAGTCCTTGCATTCGTAGGGCTTCTCTCCAGCGTGTGTTCGGACGTGCTGAGAAAGACCTGAGCATCCGGCGACTGCTCTTCTGCATTCTTCACACTCGCAGCGCTTCTCTGCAGCATGAATGCTTACATGTTGAGTTAGGCTTGAGGAAATACGGGAGGATTTTCCACATTCTTTAAAGTCACAGGGCTTCTCCCCAGTGTGGACTCGCATGTGACTAGTAAGGTATGCAGTGTATCTAAAGGCCTTCCCACATTCCCTACATACGTGAGGATTCCTTACAGCATGCATTTCAACAGGTGTGGCACAGCCTGGGGAGTGGGTGAGAGCCTTCCCACACTGCTTCCATTTACATGTTCCTTCTCCGCTGTGAGTTCTCACACGACCCTGAAGGTACGTCTGGTTAAGGAGTGCTTTCCCACAGTTGCTGTAGTCAATGTCCCAAGTCCATGTTTGCTGGGAAACAACATTTGGAGGAGGGCTAAAGGCTTTTCCACACTGATCCAACACCGAAAACTGCCCTCCAGCTTTGCACAAGGTTTTCTGCTGTGAAATTAAAAAGTCTTTTCCATAATGGTTAGAGACACAACTGTATCCTGTATTTTGAGGTGTCACATGGGTGCTGAGATCTGAGGGCTCGCTGACAGCCTCTCCACACTGCATCCGGTCACAGGGCTGCCCTCCATTGTGGCTTCTTGCCTGCTGGTAAAGAATGAGTGATCATCAGAGGATCAAAGATCTCACCCAGCTGAAGACAGAAGTATGACGGTGACGATTATGATTTTTGCCATCTTCACAACATGCATGCAGCTCCTGCCCCGTAGACGTCTTTCAAGTCGAATGACGTGCCCAACTGCAAGAATCCTGTGCTATCTGCTCTAACTTTGAAAAGACTCCTGCCGGTGCTCACCAAACAGCCTGCAATCTCAATACCCTGTTAGGTGTGTGCTCATGTGTGTCTGAAGAAACTCTGAACCACCAAGTTTCTTTTTGTTGAGACAGAGTCTCACTCTGTCACCCAGGCTGGAGTGCAGTGGCGTGATCTCAGCTCACCACAACTTCTGCCTCCCAGGTTGAAGCAATTCTTGTGCCTCAGCCTCCCAAGTAGTTGGGATTTCAGGCACATTCTGGCACAGAAATTTCGTTTTATATTTTCAGTAGTGAGGTTTTACCAGGTTGCCCAGGCTGGTTTTGAACTCCTGAGCTCAGGCAATCTGCCCACCTTGGCCTCCCAAAGTGCTGGGATTATAGGCATGAGGCACCGTGCCTGCCAGCACCAAGTTCCAAGACAGGATTAGCTCCTTCCAAATTCCTCACATTCAGAGTGTTCTCTGCAGACAACCCCTACCTGAGTGAATGCTGCTTCTCTAAAGTCTCTCAGTGTTGCTCATTTTCTTTTCCTTTCTTTCTTTTTTTTTTTTTGAGATGGAGTTTCACTCTTGTTGCCCAGACTGGAGTGCAATGGCACAATCTTCGCCACTGCAACCTCCATCTCCCAGGTTAAAGTCATTCTCCTGCCTCAGCCTCCCAGTAGCTGGGATTATAGGCATGTACCACCACGCCCAACTAATTTTGTATTTTTACTAGAGATGAGGTTTCACCATGTTGGTCAAGTTGGTCTCAAACTCCTGACCTCAGGTGGGCTGCCTGCCTCAGCCTCCCAAAGTGCTGGGATTACAGGCGTGAGCCACTTTGCCCGGCCAGTTTTGCTCATTTTCTATAGGGGAATTCACAATCTTTTATGAGTGTGATAAATAAAAGCATCTCTCTTGTTCATCTTACCGTCTGTGTCTCATCTGATGCGCTATGGAACCAAGCTCTATCCTGCTGAAGTGCTGAGCCTTTGCTTTTAAGTCGCCATTCTGAAGCATAAAAGAAAAGAAGTAAGGGTTTTGCAGAACAAAATCGTATGTTAATTGACTTAAAAAGTGATCAAACTCATTGTTATTTGTTTTCACATAAAACACAGCAAAAAAAATAAAGCAAAGATGGATTTGGGGAATGTGACTGTGTAAAATTTGGAATACAGGAACTGGGAGTCATAATTTAGAAGATTTCAAAATAAATTTGGTCTATAAAAAAATCAATGGGATGGTAAACAGAAACAGTATTATCAATGAAAGAAGGCAAGAAAGATCCGGACAAAGGGCATAGATTAAAAACACAAACTTGGCCGGATGTGCTGGCTCACGTGTGCAATCCCAGCACTTTGGGAGGCCAAGGTGGGCGAATCGCTTGAGGTCAGGAGTTTGAGACCAGCCTGACCAACATGGTAAAACCCCATCTCTACTAAAAATTAAAAATTAGTGGGGATGGTGGCGGGTGCCTGTAATTCCAGCTACTCAGGAGGCTGAGGCAGGATAATTGCTTGAACCCGGGAGGTGGAGGCTGCATTGAGCTGAGATCGCGCCACTGCACTCCAGGCTGGTGACACAGTGAGACTCTGCCTCAAAACCAAAAACAAACAAAAAAAACCACAAAAAACTCAAAGAACAAAAGAGCAGGTCTTTAATGAGATCACAGGGAAGTCCAGATCAGATGGAAACCAAGGAAATACGGGAAGCTCAGGATACCCCAAAACTTGTGAGTTCAATGGCCTCATGTTCTGTGCCAGAACGCATCTTAACACGTACACTGGGGAACCTTCCACACCCACCAAATGACACCAACCAGGGACGCTCTTCATACTCACTCACCCTGGAGAACTCCTCGCTGCCCTGCCCTCGACGGCCCTTCCTCCTCCAGCCAACAGATCACACTGGGTTTGAACAGGTGGTGTCCTGTACACAGGGAAAGAGATGACACACCTACCCACGAAATAACTACATTTCTTTCTTTTTTTTTTTTTTTTTGAGCCAAAGTTTCCCTCTCTTTGCCTTGGCTGGAGTGCAACCGTGTGATCTTGGCTCACAACTTCCGCCTCCCGGGTTCCCTGTCTTAGCCTCTGCGTAGCTGGGATTACCTGTGTGCGCCACCACACCTGCCTAACTTTGTACTCTTAGTAGAGACGGGGTTTCTCCATGCTGGTCAGGCTGGTCTCGAACTCCTGACCTCAGGTGATCCATCTACCTTTGCCTCCCAAAGTGCTGGGATTATAGGCACGAGCCACTGCACCCGGCCAAGAACTGCATTATTAAAGAAAGCAGTGAAACGGTCGTGAACGAGCTGGAAGTGCAAACAGCCCTGGTTATGCAATGAACACCCCATCCTTCTGTGCCTCAAAGACACTGGTCATCTCTGAGCACTGGAGCCACACTCAGGGTTGAACACACACGTAAAAACCGCCAAGACTCCGGCTGAAGGAGGAAATGATGAAAGCACAAAGCGGTTTTCATTCATTTGGGAAAGTGCTTCCCAGTGGCCCTCAGTGTCACAGTGAATCGGCTTCACTGGAGGGCTTGTTAAGCAGAGATGACAGGCGCCCCCAGCAGACACTGTACAAGTGCAGTGTGAGAACGCACACTTCCAGATGAGTGACGTGACAGTCCTGACCCTAGGGCCGTATTCTGGAAACTACCACCCTAGATTCGAGCCCATTCACGCAGTTGCTGTGTGTCACTTCCTGCGGTACTCGGCTTTGCCACCAACCCCAGAGCACAGGAAGGAGAAACGTGCTGGTGCCACAGAAGCTGCAAAGAACGGAGGCTGCCTCACCTACTGAGGCCAGGTTTTCGTAGTTCTCCAGCATCACGTCCCTGTAGAGGTCTCTCTGAGATGGGTCCAGTAAAGTCCACTCCTCCTGGGTGAAGGCCACAGCCACGTCATCAAATGTCACCGAGTCCTAAATCATCACACGTGACGGTTAGAGATGCTTGACCTGTCATCAGTGTTCCCTGGAGAATGAGGAGCGGGGCCCTAGGCCTCCATGGGACCGTGAGGCCTCCCACTGTCTACCCCACGGCCCAACAGTCCCGAGAGCCCTTCTCTGTCCACACACGTGATGTTGATCTTCCCCATCATATGGCTGGATTGGCCCCTCTAAGGTGAACTTTTCTCACCACAACCCCACAGGGCGCCCCTCCCGCCTTACGTCCCTCTCCGGAGCACAGTACAAGCTCGTGATAACTCGTGATGTGGAAATAAGATCCCAGAGAGGACACTGTCTCCTCCTTACCACGTGTCAGAGCAGCAGCAAAATAGAACCATGCGTTTGGTGCCACAAGGTCAAAGTAATAAGTAACATTGAAGCCAGGTGCAGTGGCTCTCGCCTGTAATCCCAGCACTTTGGAAGGCCAAGGCAGGTGGATCACCTGAGGTCAGGAGTTCAAGCCCAGCGTGGCCAACATGGTAAAACCCCGTCTCTACTAAAAATAAAAAAAATGAGCTGGGGGTGGTGGTGGACGTCTACTCAGCTACTCAGGAGTCTGAGGCAGGGGAATCGTGAACCTGAGAGGCAGAGGTTGCCGTGAGCCGAGGTAACATTGAAATACTGGGAGGATTATCACAGTAACACCGACTAACTAGGCTCTGCTCCTAGGGGGATTCAGCTAGGGACTCAGTCCTTGAGTGAGGCTTTATTGCTTTAAGAAGCAGTGGAGGCGAGTCTGCCCAGACAGAACTGTGTCAATCTGATGAATATCAGCATGTTATTTTCAGAAACATACAGGTTTGGCATACCTGGTAAGACTCTATCAGCCAGCCAGCCAACATCCCTGCTGCCTGGGTCTGTTCTTCATGAAGGCAGACTAAGTCCTTAGAAACACGACCTCCTAAAAAAGAAAGACGGCAAGAAGGCATGAGAATCCACAGCTGACCCTGATTCAGACGTTCACGGACCCGGACGTCATTCCATCACGGCAGGAAATTCCCATGTGGTCCTGCACACTCAGGAAAACACACACACACACAGCCACATAGTGCCAGGGTGGTCTGTGTCGCCCAGTGACACGAAAGTTTGTGAGCTACGCTGTCCATCAGGAAATGGCAAGTCTCCTATTGCAGATACAGAAACGTGACTCTTCATGTGCCCATGACAAGAAAACTCATGAAGGAGTCTATGCATCACCCCTTTCCACAGCACACACACCCGGGGCTGACTGACGATAGAAATCCGGAGCGTGACTACTGAGGCCCGTCCGTGGGACTCACACTGTGTATCAGGACCTAGAGCAAAGTATCTGGGAAAGAGCAACACCAGGACTCACTGTGGGCCAGGTCAGGGGCTGCCATCCCGGGAGGCTGATGGGAACATCTGAAGGCTCCGTTCCTGAGGCCAGGGCTGCTGCAGGGCAGCTTGTCAACCTCTGTGGATGGGGCAGTCTCCTTCCCTCCTGATGCAGGGATGGCTGGATCTCGATTTCCTATCAACCATAACAAAGAAGCATTACTTCCCAGTTAACAAACCTCATGCATTAGCCTGTCTCTGCGGATGATACATGTGAAAGCCACTGTATCCCGTTTACTCTCCTGAGGACTAGCAATGCCCGTATCATGTACTCAAGAGCAGTACATGGGTCAGAAGATACACCAGAAGCCTTATTTATAAGAACGGCCATTCACGAATCTCACTTGGGTTTATATCTAAAATACCCTGCACTCAGATAACAGGAATTCGTCCCACTTTATCCACTCAGGAGGTGGTAAACCAAGACAGCTAGCCGGTACAGATTCAACCTCCTTGTCGGTTTGTACTCCTTAGTCTGTGATCACTCCCCAGCAGGGCAAAAGTAAGCCTAGAGCCACCCTTTCTTATTCCACTGATGAGGTGGCTCCAACAGTAACGCTTCACAGGTCAGAAAAATAGGTCCATTCTCCTAGTATAAATTGTACTCACTACGGGTGTCTGAGACGGGGGAAAGGCCCACACATGTTCAATTTGGTGCCACCTGCACAGCTCGCTTTCTTGTTTCAAAAAAGGGAGGTAAAATTCTATTCTCTGCCTTACTGTCGCCAGAGGACCTGATTTTCAGCCTGCCCTTACACGCTATGATGACATGCTGGCTGGATACAGTGAACAGGAAATCAACACATTTTAGATATCTTCATATGAAACATAAAAAATAGAGGGCTTGGGATTCAGGGGCCGGTTTCTGTGAGTTCAGTAGCCTGGATTCCATAAAGACGTCCCCTCCAATATGCACCCCAAGTTACAGCCTCATAAAACCTGTAACCAAAAAAGAATCACAACATTTTGCAGATGTTTTAATTTTAGAGGCAACGTATATAACAGCTCCAATGCTCTACACAGTTGCCTAGAAGGCTGCCAGTGCCAAGTGCGGATCCGTGCAGTTCAGGTGCAGGACAAGCTTCTTAGGCACTCGGTGGAGAGGAGGCAGCAGACCCAATGACACAGTGTCCATGGTACACAGGTTCAGCTGCAAGCCTCTGGCAAGCACGGATCAGACTCGGAGCACAGCCCTCTGGGACTTTAAGAGTAAATCTACAACCTCTAAACGGCCATCTATGCAGCTGCCCGTAGACCTTGTGAGAAATGGGCTGTGGCTTGCCACCAGTACAGAGTAGAGAAAGAACAGCTAACAGCTAGAGAAGGATGGGACAGGAAGTGACTCAGTAATCTGAGACCTTGTGGCCCCCAAAGCATAAGGTACTTACTGTTCGCCCTCTACCAACCTCTACTCTGAATTCAACTACTGGTTCATAGGAAGCAGCAAGAAATAGAGGGATATTTAAACATATCAAGAGAAAACAATACCAAAGGCAACGTGCTAGAGAAATGACAGGAACAGTTCTAGGAGAAAAGACACTAAGACATTAACGGTGGGAATGTAGAAACCTCGAACGGCTCTTAGTCCCCAAAATACCCAACGGCGTAATGTTGGACCGACATTGAGAATTCTAGGCATTACACAGAGTAGGCAGCGGATGACCGTATTACTTTTGATTTTCTTTTTTTTTTTTTTTTTTTCCCCCGAGACGGAGTTTCGCTCTTGTTACCCAGGCTGGAGTGCAATGGCGCAATCTCGGCTCACCGCAACCTCCACCTCCTGGGTTCAGGCAATTCTCCTGCCTCAGCCTCCTGAGTAGCTGGGATTACAGGCACACACCACCGTGCCCAGCTAATTTTTTGTAATTTTTTTTTTTGTAGAGACGGGGTTTCACCATGTTGACCAGGATGGTCTCGATCTGCCGACCTCGTGATCCACCCGCCTCGGCCTCCCAAAGTGCTGGGATTACAGGCTTGAGCCACCGCGCCCGGCCTTTACTTTTAATTTTCTTAGGAGAAATACTAGTATTGTGGTTTAGCAGGGCAACGTTTTTGTCTTTAAGAGATGCTTCGCCAGGCCGGGCACGGTGGCTCAAGCCTGTAATCCCAGCACTTTGGGAGGCCGAGGCGGGTGGATCACGAGGTCAAGAGATCGAGACCATCCTGGTCAACATGGTGAAACCCCGTCTCTACTAAAAATACAAAAAATTAACCGGGCACGGTGGCACGTGCCTGTAATCCCAGCTACTAAGGAGGCTGAGACAGGAGAATTGCCTGAACCCAGGAGGCGGAGGTTGCGGTGAGCCGAGATCGCGCCATTGCACTCCAGCCTGGGTAACAAGAGCGAAACTCCGTCTCAAAAAAAAAAAAAACAAACAAACAAAAAACAAAAACATGCTTCGCCAAGTATTTAAAGGTTAAGTATCACGTGCGCAGTTTATTTTCAACTTAATTATACTCAAATCGTGGTCCACGTAAGATTCATTTAGTGGAGACACAGAAAACACGGCCCAAAGCTAAAAACGAGTGAGACGACTGCGGGGGATATTCCCTGTGGCAGACGTTCAGCGTTGGATTCAGGTTTTTCTACAGCAAAACGTGAGAACGAACACGGTTAGTCGCGCACGCCGTTCACAGCGGGTTCGGGGACTCCGGGAGCGGCGGGAGAACGGCCGCGTCCCTCCTCCCCGAGGCGGCGCCGGACACCGGGAACCCCAACACAATGTGCCACGATCAAATAAAAACCGCGTGGAAAGGCCGCGGTCCCCACAGGCGAACGTGCACCGGGAGCGGCGGCCCGGACACCGGGAACCCCAACACAATGTGCCACAGTCAAATAAAAACCGCGTGGAAAGGCCGCGGTCCCCACAGGCGAACGTGCACCGGGAGCGGCGGCCCGGACACCGGGAACCCCAACACAATGTGCCACGATCAAATAAAAACCGCGTGGAAAGGCCGCGGTCCCCACAGGCGAACGTGCACCGGGAGCGGCGGCCCCGGACACCGGGAACCCCAACACAATGTGCCACAGTCAAATAAAAAGCGTCCAAGCCAAATTCCCACGGAAGCACGCCCTGTTCACAGCGAAGGAAGCGGAGGTCCCCCCTCTCACCAGCTCCGCGGAACCGAGGCGCGGCCCGGGGCCACCAGCCGCCAGCGGCGGCGACTCTCCCTTCTGGAATCGGGGGCGACGCGCTACCCGGGGCGGGCGACCACGCCCGAGCCGGGACCCCCGCGGACGGTCCCCGGGACACGCGCGGAACTCACCAGCGCCGGGACTGGCATCCGCGAGGACAGGGACCGCTAACGGACAGGCGGAGCCGATGCCGGAAGACAGGCCGGCGCGTCTCTGGCGCGTCACTTCCGCCTCCAGCCGCACGGCCGAACCGTTGGCTTCCCGCGCCCGGAAGATTGAATGTCTTCCGCGATGATGCGGGAGGGTCCCGGGGCTGCCTCGGGAACGGGGCTGGAGGCAGAGGCAGAGGCAGGCCCGGAGGACCAGGCGGACGTAGGGATCAGGCCTCTGGGCGCCACTGCGGAGCCGGAACAGACCGAGAGCGCGAGGCTGGGCCGGTACAGCCAGGAAGTGCTCGTCGCAGCGGGAGGCCGCGGGTGCGGAGTGCTCGGTTCCCGCTCCATCTCGACAGCGAGTCACCTGCCCCCTTCCTTTTTATGTGTCTGATAAAAAGGAACTCTAACAGTTGATGCTTTTGCATTTTCTATTTTTCCAACTTTGTTTCTTAGACTGAGTATCGCTCTGTCGCCCAGGCTGGAGTGCAGTGGCGCGATCTCGGCTCACTGCAGCCTCCGCCTCCCGGGATCAAGCGATTCTCCTGTCTCCGCCTCCCAAGCAGCTGGGACTACAGGCGCCAGCCACCACGTCCGGCTGATTTTTGTATTTTTAGTAGAGAGGAGTTTCCCCATATTGGTCAGGTTGGCATTGAACTCCTGTTCTCATGATCCGCCCACCTTGGCCTCCCAAATGCTGGGATTACAGGCGTGAGCCACCACGCCGGGCAATTCCTTTGCATTTTCAATGCATTTTTTTTTTCTGTAAATGTTCATATTTTTCCCTTCAAATACGCGTTTCTGATATTTTTCTAATGTACTGTAGGGGCCAGTACCACCAATACTACGTGGCAAAAGAGCACTGCTGGTACCAGGTGTTCTCCCAAGGTTCATTCAGAAGTGTAACGTGAGTCCAGCAACAATACGGAAAGGCTTTTTTTTGGAGCCACGCATATTGATAGTAGAGTTCACATGGAAGAACAAATGCCTAATAGCGAAGAAGACGTGGACAATCAAGTGCCCTACAGATATGAAAACAGCCTCTTTAATTAAAAATGTGGTAGTGGCACATGAACAGGAAACAGACAAGTGGAATATCCAGAAATCAGCCCCATAATATGGGAATTTGGTTCATAAACGTATTTCAGACCAGTGGGACAAATACGCAGTTTATAGTGAAAGGTGCTAAGAGAAACGGTTAGCCGTCTGAGAAATGATGAAATTAAATCTGGACCTCACAGGGATAAATTGCAAACGCATCAGTAATCTAAATGTGAAAAACAAAACCACGCGTGAGGTGTTCACGTGATTTCGTGGCTGATTAAGGAACAAGATGTGCCCAGGAGGTGGCAGTAGCACACAAGCTTGACAGGTTGGGGAGGGGAGGCTCATGCACCATGAGGTTATCCACAGGCTTCAAACCGGAGGTGACTACCCAGAAAAGAGAAGAAATGGCGGGGGGCACAGAGAACTCCCAGAGAAAAAGGGGATCAGAAGTGGAGGAGGGCTCATGTGACTAGATCATGTTTCTCAGCAGCCTGCCAGGTGTCTGAGTCACAAAGCAGCAGGGGTTTGCAGTCTTCACAGCCCAAGGTTTATCTCATCTATCGCTAGCAGAGATTGGGCACAATTTCACCAAGTATGCAAAGCAAGCACACGCTAAATGGTTTAACACTGTGCTTCTTTGGGATGTGTTTTATTTCTTTACTATTTATTTGAGACGGAATCTTCCCTCTGTCGCCTAGGCTGGAGTGCAACGATGTGATCTTGGCTCACTGCAACCTCTGCCTCCTGGGTTCCAGCAATTCTCCTCAGCCTGCCAAGTAGCTGGGATTGTAGGCACCTGCCACTGTGCCTCGCTAATTTTTTTTTTTTTTTTTTTAAATGGAGTCTGGCAGTGTCACCCAGGGTGTGGTGCAGTGGCACAATCTCAGCTCACTTTGATTGTGGCTCACTGTGATCACTGCCTTCTGGGTTCAAGCAATTCTCCTTCCTCAGCCTCCTGAGTAGCTGGAACTACAGGCATGTGCCACCACGCCCAGCTTTTTTTTTTTTTTTTTGTATTTTTAGTGGAGGTTGGGTTTCACTGTATTGGCCAGGATGGTCTCGATCTCCTGACCTCGTGGACCGCCCACCTCAGCCTCCCAAAGTGCTGGGATTAGAGGTGTGAGCCACTGCGCCAGGCCTTGGGATATGTTTCAAGTAACTGAATGTATTAAAATTTGAGTGTGGCACCAGCAGGCTATTGTAAATATTGGTGCTATGACCATTGTGTACAAACATATCTTAGATCCTTGTTCTCAGCACTTTGGATATATATGGGAAAGTGGAATAGCTGTGTCTGATGAGAATTCTGATTTTCTGACAAACCAGCGTACTGTTCCAGAGCTGATGCATCATTTTACATCCCCACAAGCCGTGCTCAAGGTTCCAGCTGTACCACAGCCAGCCAGCACTTACCTCTGACTGAGAGGCTCACAGCCACCACCGCAAGGGTCACTGATCTCAGTGTGGCTTTGATTTTCATTTCCCTAATGTTTAGTTACGTTGACCCTCTTTTCATGTTCTTATTGGCCCTCTGTTTACCTTCTTTATTCCAAGTCCTTTTTTGAATTAATTTGGTTTTGTTGTTATTGAGTTTTAGTTCTTAAGGAACTGAATATTCACCCTTAATCAAACACATGATTTGCAAATATTTCTGTGGCTTTTCTTTTCACTCATTATTACCCTTTGATCCACAGAATTTGTGATACTGATGAGGTCCGGTTCACCTAGTTTTCTTCAGTCACCCTTGTGGCTGATTTCATAACCAAGAAATCATTTCCACTCCCAACGGCATGAAGCTTTCTCCTCTATGTTTTCTTTTAAGAGTTTTATACGTTAGCTCTTACCTTTAGGTTTTAAATCCTTCAATTCATTTTTATACATGATATAAAGTAAGGGCCCAGCTCCATTCTTCTGCATGTAGATACCCATTTCTCGCCCAGGCTCTACTGAGGTATGATTGACAGAAAATCATATGAAGATGCGCGACATGATGAGTTGATACCTGCACACACTGATACAGGCACCATGATCAAACAGACTTAGGCACCCATCCCCTCACCGAGGCACCGTCTTCTGAGTGTGTGCTGAAGCAGATTCCAATCATACAACACAGTGTTATTCACTAAAGTCTCCATGCTGTACGTTACATCCCAGAACGTACTCAGCCTTTACCTTATTTGTGCCATTTGACCAATGTCTTCCCATTCCGTCCTCTGACTCCATCCTCTGGCACCCAGCAGTGTACTCTCTGCTGCTAGAAGTTCAGCTGGTTTGGATTCCATGTGAGGTTATATAGGATTTCCTTTTTTTTTTTTTAAAAAAAAAAAGGCTAAATAATATTTGTGTGTGTGTGTGTGTGTGTGATGGTTTGGTTTTGTTTCTAGAGATAAAGTCTCACTCTGTTGCTCAGGCTGGAGAGAGTGCAGTGGCACAGTCATGGCTCACTACAGCCTTGAACTCCTGGGCTCCATCATCCTCCTGCCTCAGGTTCCTGTGTGGCTGGGGCTGCAGGCACGGACCACCACACCTGGCCGCCTTTTTCAAGATTGGTTTGACTTACTGAACTCCATTGAGATTCCGTATGTGCTTGCTCGCTTGCTTGCTAGATTTATGGGACCGAGTTTTGCTCTTGTTGCCCAGGCTGTAGTGCAATGGCGTGATCTCAGCTCATTGCAACCTCCACCTTCCCATTCAAGTGATTCTCCTGCCTCAGCCTCCTGAGGAGCTGGGATTACAGGCGCCCACCTGGCTAATATTTTTATATTTTTAGTAGAGATGGGGTTTCTCCATGTTGGTCAGGCTGGTCTCAAGCTTCCAACCTCAGGTGATCCGTCTGCCTCGCCCTCCCAAAGTGTTGGGATTGCAGGCTTGAGCCACCATGCGCAGCCCTTTTATTTATGTGTTTTGAGATGGAGTCTCACTGTTGCAGTGGCGGCATGTTGCCCAGGCTGGAGTGCAGTGGTGCCATCTTGGCTCACTGCAACCTCTGCCTCCTGGGTTCAAGTGATTCTCCCGCCTCAGCCTCCCAAGTAGCTCAGATTACAAGCGTGTGCAATAGGTCTGGCTAATTTTTGTATTTTTAGTGGAGACGGGGTTTCACCATGTTGGCCAGGATGGTCTTGCACTCCTGACCTCAAGTGATCTGCCCGCCTTGGCCTCCTCAAGAGCTGGGATTACAGGTGTGAGCCGCTGCGCCTGGCCTGTGCCTGGTATTTTAAAGCTAATTTTGGAAGCACCTTAACATCACTTCTGTCATATTCTGCTGGTCATAGAGACCAACCCTGGTATGACACGTGAGAGGACTATGCACAGGTACAAATGTCAGGAAGCAGGGATTACTGGGCCACATCATCCTCCTAGAACAGGGAAGAATTTAGCAACACCCAGCAAAAGTATGGGTGCGACCCAGCAACCCTCCTGCTCAAAACTGTCTCTGAAGGGAAATCTCGAACAAGTCAAAAATGCCTGAGAGTACTAATTACAGCCCAGTAGTCAAGTGACTGAGTACTGCATGGCACATCCGCCAGTGGAGTGCTGCGCAGCCCTGGGGATGCAGGTCTCTGTGAGCTCCTCTGGAGTGATTTCCAAGATACACCATTAAGTGAAAATGCCAACGGCACACCAGTAGCTACAGTAGGAAGCCTTTTCTGTAGAAAAATAGACGGGGTGCAGCGGCTCACATCTGTAATCCCAGCACTTTGGTTGAGGTGGGCGGATCACTTGAGGTCAGGAGTTCGAGACCACCCTGGCCAACGTGGCGATACCCCGCCTCTACCAAAAAATGCAAAATTTAGCTGGCCATGGAGGCATACACCTGTAATCCCAGCTACTCGGGAGGCTGAGGCAGAATCACTTGAACCTAGGAGGCAGAGGTTGAGTGAGCCAAGATCGTGTCACTGCACTCTAGACTGGGGACCGAACGAGACTACATCTTAAAAAAATAATAACAGACAACAAAATACATATGTATATTTATCTCTTCATGTCGAATACAAGGAAATACAGATGAGATTATTCAGAAAAATAATAGCTCACAGGCTGAAACAGATGGTAGGACGGGAACAAGGTGGAAAGGAAAGGATGGGGACAGGGAAAGCTCTCAGCGTGTCATTCTGTTCAGTTCTGATGTCCAAACAGTTATTTCTTTACAGTCTTAATTCTAAAAAATTAACAGGGGGCCAGACATGGTGGGGTATGCCTGTAATCCCAGCACTTTGAGAGGCCAAGGCGGGAAGATCACTTGAGGCCAGGAGTTCAAGACCAGCCTGGCCAACGTGGTGTAACCCCGTCTCTACTAACAATACAAAACAAATTAGCTGGGCATGGTGGTGGGTGCCTTTTATCCCAGCTACTCAGGAGGCCGAGACAGGAGAACTGCTTGAACCCGGGAGGCTGCAGTGAATTGAGATCACGCCACTGCACTCCAGCCTGGGTGACAGAGCAAGACTCCATCTAAAAAAATAAAAATTAGAAAAAGAATAAAACAGTAAGTAATTTAACCAAGGAGGTAACAGAACTGTGCAATAAAAATCTACAAAATGCTGGTGAAAACAATTAAAGAAAGCATAAATAAATGAAAACACATCCCATGTTGATGGTTTAGAAGATATTGTTACAAATGTCAACACTGCCCATATAAATCTACAGATTCAATGCAATCAATTTTGACAAATTCAAAACAGTATTAAATATTCTATCAAAAGATTTTGATAGGGAATCTATATCAAAATCCCAGGGACATTGTTTTTGCAGAAAAAGAAAACCCCGCTTAAAAATTCATATTGAACCTGGAAGAACCCCAAATAGTCCAAATAATTTTTTCTTTGAGACAGTCTCGCACTGTCGCCCAGGCTGCAGTGCAGTGGCGCTATCTCAGCTCCCTGCAAATCCCACCTCCTGGGTTCAAGCAATTCTCCTGCCTCAGCCTCCTGAGTAGCTGGGACTATAGGTGTGCGCCACCACACCCAGCTTTTTTGTGTGTGTTTTTAAAAGAGACGAGAATTCACTATGTTGGCCAGGATGGTCTCGATCTCCTGATCTCATGATCCGCCCGCCTTGGTCTCCCAAAGTGCTGGGATTACAGGCCTGAGCCACCGCGCCTGGCCTTTTATGTGATGTGAGTCCCACCTCAATAGAAGTCTTAGGAATCGAAGTGCCAATTGGAATTGTGCAAATGCAGAGCCCACTGACAAAGCGAAACGAGAGAAATTGGGGGTCCGAAACCTCAGGAGTGACTCACAGGATCCACCGTGATTGTCCTCACAAATGTTACCGCGAAAACAATGTGACTTGGCCGGGAGCCGTGGCTCACGCCTGCAATCCCGGCACTTTGGGAGGCCGAGGTGGGTGGATCACTTGTGGTCTGGAGTTCCAGACCAGCCTGGCCAACATAGTGAAGCCCCGTCTCTACTAAAAACACAAAAATTAGCTGGGCTTGGTGGCGGGTGCCTGTAATCCCAACTATCGGGAGCCAAGGCAGGAGAATCACTGGAACACGGGAGGCAGAGGTTGCGGTGAGCTGAGATCACGCCATTGCGCTGCAGCCTGGACGGCAGAGCGAGACTCCGCCTCCAAAAAAAAAAGAAGAAAAGAATCGGACTCGAAAATAAACGCAACCTACTTGGTTCTCAGAAGGGGAGAAGGAACCCGGCGGCGAATGGCGTCAGTTCTCCCTCGATCGCCCCGGAGATGCCGCGCAGGCCCCCGAGCTCCCAAGCGGTGGTTTCAGAACCTGCGGGTCACCTGGGAGCTTTTCCCGCAAAACCAAACGAAAGCTCCCCGCGCGGAGAAGAGCAGGCGGCTGCCCGCCCCGACCTCGCCCCGCCCGGGCGGACGCCCTCGGCGCCACGCAGGCACCACCCCTTCGAGACGCCCGGGACCCGGCGCCCAGAGCAACCTGCGTGCACCTGCGCCCTGCGGGCACCTGAGCGCGCGGCCACGCCCCTGGCCACGCCCCCGGCCCGCTGGCCGCCCTCACTGTGCCCCGCCCTCTCGCTCTTCGGCCTCAAGTCCCGCCCCTCAAATCCCCGCCCTATCAGGCCTCGGCCCTCACAGGTCCCGCCCACATCCCCGCCTCCATTCGACTCAGGCCCCGCCCATTACGGCCCCGCCCCCATGCCCCGCCCACGGAGCCCGCCCGGGTCCCGGCCGTGTCCCGTCCAGCGCGCAGCCGGCGGCAGATGGAGCAGGAGGCGCGGGTGCTGAGAGCTGCGGGGGGCTTCGGCCGGGCCCGGCGCCTGCTGGCCGCCGCCTCGTGGGTGCCCTGCGTGGTGCTGGGGCTGGCGCTGAGCTCCGAGGTGCTGCTCATCGCGCAGCCCGTGAACCGCTGCCGGCCGGACCCCGCGCTGCTGCCCCCCGCGCTGCTCGACGCCGCCATCCCGCGTCTGGGACCCACGCGCGTCCGGAGCCCCTGCCTGCTCCTGCGCTACCCCGCGCCCGCGCCCAACGGCACTCGCGGCTGGCTCTACGCGCTGCCCGCCGCCGGCCTCCTGCGCATCCCGGTCACCCAGGTGCGCCCCTTCCCCGCTGCCCGGCGGCCCTCCCCGCCCGCAGCCTGCCGCGGCCCTGGGTGTCCCTTCTCCGCCCTCCCTGGAGCCTCTGTCCCCGGCCATCCGCCCGTCCTCCTGCGCTCCCTGCTTGGGGGCGGCCCCCGGCCCGACGGTGCGGTGGACGCGCGCCCAGGGCCAGGCCTGCGGAGAGGCTGTTCCCAGGGGCGCGGGCTGAGTCTGGGCGCGGGGTGGCCTGGGGCGCAGGAGGATTGGAGCTGAAGGCCACGGGGAGCAGGACTTGGAATTTGCTTCCCGACCACCAGCGTCTTGAGCAGACCGTGGCTTTGGGCTGGCTTCTCAGGGACAGTCTCTGCTTGGAGAGACTGGCGTGGTCAGCACAGATTGGGAACGGTGGGCTTCCCACCAGTGGGGGGTGGCGCGCGGAGGCTGGGCTGGAGGCAGCATCGCCTGAAGGGGAACCTTGACGGCCTGCGTGAGAAGAGATGGGGAAGCAGCGGCGGGGACCCCCAGGCCCCTCTCTTCCTTCCCACTCCTGAGGCAGCCTTTACCCCGCGGCCTCCACCTCCCACCCTGGGAGGATTGGAAACTGGTTCTGGGTTGCCACATCTCCGCAAGGGGCCCTGGAACCCGCCCGGCTTCTCTCTCCACCCCCGCTCCCAACTGCCCTCCTGTCTGGGGCCTGGATCCACAAAACGTCAGGTTTGAAAGTAAAATCGCGGGCATAGCATGTTCCCCAGCAGTAGAGGAACTGGAAAGGAGGCGGTCCCCCCTCCTCCTCCCCCCCCCCCCCCCCCCCCCGCAAAGCTGAGGTCAAGGGTCAAGAGCCTCACCGGGAAATGCCGCTGAGCACAGCTCTCCAGCCACTGCCTAAGTCCCTCTTGAAATGGGCAGGGCGGGGGGGGGGGGGGGGGGAGGGCGGGTGCTGCGGCTCATTTCTTAGGCCTGTGTCATGGCTATGGCCCTTGGCTAGGTGGGGTGGGGGTTGTGTCTATGACGCCACCGAGGCCGTGGGTGTCCCTGGGATCCCTTGGAATAGGAGGTAGAAACAGGTGGGACAAGATTTGGCTTCTGAGGAGAGCAATGGTGTGCAGAGGTGGGGAGGCCCCTTCTACAGACCAGCAGAAAACAGACCCCAACCCCTCTGCAGGGACTGCCGCAGTCCCAAGAGGCTGCTGTGTGACCTGGACCAAGCCACCTTGTCCTCTTGTGCCTCATTTTCCCCTTCTCTTCAGGGAGGGATTGAGCAGGCCGTGTAGGGCACTTTCAGGCAGCCATTCTGGGACTCCCTGCACCTGTCCCCAGCGAGGAGGCAGGGAAGGGTCCTGAGCTGGCCTCCACGTGGCTGCTGTTCCCCACAGTGGAACCTTGTGTGTGGAGACAGCTGGAAGGTCCCGCTGGAGCAGCTGAGCCACCTCCTGGGCTGGTTGCTGGGCTGTGTCATCCTGGGAGCATGCTGTGACCGGTGAGGCCCCTTCCCCTTCCTCGCTGCCCAGCAGCCCTCCCCTGCCCTGGCCCACTGCTCTCAGGGTTCAGCTAGACCTGGAGCTGCCAGGATTAAGCAGACCCTGGGTTACCCTGACCCTGTCCTAGCATGTCCCCTGCTACCCCCTAGGTTTGGCCGCCGGGCAGTTTTTGTGGCCTCCCTCGTGCTGTCCACGGGCCTTGGGGCCGGTGAGGCCCTGGTGACCAGCTTCCCTACCCTACTGGTCCTGCGCCTAGTCCATGGGGGAACGTTGGCAGGGGCCCTGCTCGCCCTGTACCTGGCTCGTGAGTACCATGGGGGCTGCTGTCACTGGGGGAGGGGCAGTGGGTGGCCTGAAGGCCTCTGAAGCTCGGTTGCCAAGAGCCCTGAGCTGCAGGAGTGGGGAGTCCAGCTCAGGCATCCCACTCACGGGCAGGTCAGCGCTAGGTCCCTGCAGTCCCCAGTGGGACTGTTCCAGCCCTCCCTGAGGCCTCCACCTCAGCCCATCTCTATCTGCCCAGGCCTGGAGCTGTGTGACCCTCCACACCGTCTGGCCTTCTCCATGGGGGCCGGCCTTTTCTCTGTGGCGGGCACCCTGCTGCTGCCTGGCCTGGCTGCGCTCGTGCAAGACTGGCGCCTTCTACATGGGCTGGGCGCCCTGATGAGTGGGCTCTTGCTGCTATTTTGGGGGTAAGTGTGATGGGAGCTGGGCCAGCAGCCCCCATGGGGGCTGAGTGTGTAGTTTCCCTCTGCACCAATGTATACCACACGGGGTAAGCTGTTGGGACAGGGTCACAGAGAACCACAGCCATGTCCCTCCCCTGAGTCCGGGGAGGAGTGGGGGCCGGGCCTCTGCCTCTCCGTCCTGGAGGAGGTGGAGGAAGCCTTGGGTATCCTCACCAACCCTGCAGCTTCCCAGCCGTGTTCCCTGAGTCTCCCTGTTGGCTGCTGGCCACAGGGCAGGTAGCCCGAGCCAGGCAGATCTTGTGGCACTTTGCAGAAGCCAGCGGTGTGGACCCCGAGGACAGTTCCTTGGAGGAGAACTCCCTGGTTACAGGTCAGGCACCGGGCAGGGAGGAGGGAGATTCAGGTACTAGAGGAGGGCTTCAGAGAGGCACTGCCTGCTCTTCACTCCCCTTCTGCCCCCACATCTCTGCTGCTACAGAGCTGGCCATGCTGTCTGCAGGGAGCCCCCAGCCCCGGTACCACTCCCCCCTGGGGCTCCTGCACACGAGGGTCACCTGGAGAAATGGGCTTATCTTGAGCTTCAGTGCGTGAGTAAAGGAAGGGCTTGGGTTCTGTACCTTCCCCGGGGGGTGGCTTTGTGGTCCCCAGAGTCCTGGCTCTGGCTGGGCCCATAGCTTTGTTCTCTCTCCCAGACTGGTTGGTGGGGGCATCAGAGCCAGCTTCCTTCGCAGCCTGGCCCCTCAGGTGCTGACCTACCTGCCCTACTTCCTGGAGGCTGGCCTGGAGGCAGCAGCCTTGGTCTTCCTGCTCCTGACGGCAGATCGCTGGGGACGCCGCCCCATCCTGCTGCTGGGCACCATGGCCACAGGCCTGGCATCCCTGCTGCTCCTCGCTGGGGCCCAGTGTGAGCTTGGGGCCCCACAGGCCATATAGGGGCCGTGGTGTTTGGGCTGAAGGTCTGCCCCATCAGGGGCAATGGTGCAGACAGGGGGGCAGCATGGTTTCCCTCTCATCCTTTTGGAAGGCCCAAAGTAAGGAACCAGGAACCTGTCTGAGCCCAAAACACCTAGCTGGGCACGGTGGCTCACGCCTATAATCCCAGCACTTTGGGAGGCCAAGGCTTGTGGATCACCTGAGGTCAAGACTCCAAGACCAACCTGACCAACATGAAGAAACCCTGTCTCTACTAAAAATACAAATATTAGCTGGGTGTGGTGGCGGATGCCTGTAATCCCAGCTATGTGGGAGGCTGAAGCTGGAGAATCACTCGAACCAGGGAGGTGGAGGTTGTAGTGAGTTGAAATCACGCCACTGCACTCCAGCCTGGGCAACGAGTGAAATTCTATCTCAAAAACAGATGTCCCCAACCACAGAATGCAGCACAGGGGTGAGAGGTCAAGAGGCCAGGCTGGGTAGGCTCTGCCCAGAGTTCAGCTGGCCCCAGGCTGGCATGGGAGGGCCCATCTACTCAGGGCTGGTCACACGGTATGTGGGGCTGGGTGTCAAATGAGATACAGGCCTTGCTTCCAAAGTCTTCAAGATTTCAGGACGGTTCTGGAAATTGCAGACAGTGGACAGCATGTAGTAGCTGAGCACGGGTGCATGGGGAGGTGGCTGGTGTGGCTGTGGCTCTGGGTTCGGGTTCTACCATCCCGAGAATCCGAGCCAGGCTGGAATCAGGCAGCAGAGGACAGGGTCCCCTGCCAGGTTCCTCAGAGGGGCTGGAGGTGGAGGCCTGGGAAGTAGGTGCCCAGACAGCAGTGTGTTTCTCTGTGGAGAGGCTCTGTGTGGCCAGGGTGAAAGGCCTGGGAACCCCTGTCCTCTGTCCCCAGATCTGCCAGGCTGGACCATGCTGTCCGTCTCCGTCCTGGGACTCCTGGCCTCCCAGGCTGTGTCTGCACTCAGCAGCCTCTTTGCAGCTGAGGTGTTCCCTACAGTGATGAGGTGAGTTACAGGGTTGCCCAGCCACACAGCAGGGTCCAGGGCCCCTCATAGGGAGGAGGGGCCAGGTGGAAGGAGGGCCGGTCCCCACACCCCGCCCTGCTGCAATTCCTCCATCCAGTGAGCACTCAGGTGAAGCGCTGCCCTGCTCCTGGGTGGGGGGTGCCCCTGCTCACAGGAGGCTCTGGGCAGACGGCTCAGGAACTGGGAAGGGGAGGGAAGGCCATGCAGGACTGAGCCGGGTGGTGGGGGACAAGGGGCAGGGCAGAGATGAGGAAGCCTCCAGAGATGGCAGAATTTCAGGAGAGCCGTCACTTCCAATCTTTGAATGAACAGAGCACCAAGTGCTGCCCCGGGACAGGAAGGAAGGAGGTTTTTCCAAAACCAGTTTGAAAGTTATCCTCAGCCAGCAAACCTTAGGCTCTGCTTCGGCCAGCCTTCCTGCCACTCACTCCGCAGTCACATGTGTGTGTCCCCGTGTCTGATGCCCCACAGCTGCCCCACCAGCTGTCCCCAACATACTCTCTCCCACAGAGGGGCCGGGCTGGGCCTGGTGCTAGGGGCCGGGTTCCTGGGCCGGGCGGCCGACCCCCTGGATGCCGTGCACGGCCGGAGGGGCTTCTTCCTCCAACATGTGGTCTTCACCTCCCTGGCTGTCCTTACCCTGCTGTGTGTCCTGCTGCTGCCAGAGAGCCGAAGCCGGGGCCTGCCCCAGTCACTGCAGGACGCCGACCGCCTGCGCCGCTCCCCACTCCTGCGGGGCTGCTCCCGCCAGGACCACCTGCCCCTGCTGTCGGCCTCTGATGCCTGCCGGGCCGGCCACACCCTCCAGCAGCACTAGCCCTGCCTGCGGGCCCCAGGAGCCTGGTCAGGCCTGCGGCATGGCTGAATACCCTAGGCCTCTGGTCCAGGGGAGACACATACCCCTCAGAAGCCCGTGTCTCAGTGCAGGTGGAGCCGTGGGGACGGCGCGAACTTGTCCCCAGCCGAGCCCGGGGCCCTGGGAGGCCCTGAGTCTCCTCCCTGGTCAGACTCAGCAGGTGCGGAGGATAAAGGTTTCTCTGGAACATGGCGTCCTCCCTGGTTCTTCCCTCAGGCCACACTTCGGGCCTGGAGGGGCCTCACCTGTGCCCACTCCCCACCTCTGGGATCCCTAGTGAGGAGCCAGTGTATCAGCAGCCCCTCTCCAGGTGGGGGCAGCCCCTGGCCACCCCCTGCTCCAGCCAAGCAGGGTGGGATGGGGGCCTGGCCCTTACTCCCCTCATGGTCAGTGTGGCACTGGACGCCCATCCCCCATGAGACACTGGTACATTTTTCATTCAGATTTACCCAGGAGGCTGCTGTCTTTCATACAAAGATGAGGTCCACTGGTGGGAGGTGACCCCCCTCGGGCTGATGGAGAGAAGCTCTTCCCACCCCGGCAGGAAGGAGCCTCTTCCTGGTGCCCCTCCACACTCGGGTTCTGTCCAAGACTTGGGTCCTCCCCTCCAGTAAGGAGGCTGCCCCAGGCCCGTGGGGTCAGGCCCAGTGACCTCAGGCTGCCTCTGCAGGGGCCATCACTGCCAGGCGGCCCGGGAGTGATGTGTCCAGTTGCGCCCCAGTGTCAGGCTGTCCACCTTCTGTGTCTGGGTGGAGCTGCCCCAGGAGAAAGACTCTCCCTGGCCCGGTGGTCCCATCTGGTTCCTGGCTCCAATCCTCACGGGTACCCGTACATATCTGCCAGCCGGGCAAAGCGGGGCCCCCAGTCCCTGAGGTAGTCGTAGTCCTGATCCTCATCGCCCTGGCTGGACAGGATGGAACTTAGTGTCCCTGCCAAGGAGCCCTCACCCTCATAGTCATAGATGAGGGCTGTGTCATAAGGCGGCACGCTGGGGTCACTGTCCGCAGCCTCCAAGCCCTGCAAAGAGGCCGAGAGAGCTCAGGACGCACGTAGGGGACAGCAGGTGCCCCCCCACCCCACTGTGGCCACAGCCCAGGGCAAAGTCAGCTCCAGGCATGAGCTCAGGAAGGGGAAGCTGCCCACGTCCAGGGCAAGGTATGAGGGGAGGCAAAGGGTCCTGAGGACACAGCAGAGGGCGTGAAGAGGGTGCAGTGGGCTGCCCACTTCCTTAGGATTAGGCCAGTGGCCAGCCTGTCCCCCAGGGCTCTGCCTGCCCCAGCACGTGAAAGGGGTTGCTCCCATCACCCTGGTCTCCTTGTCCCCTCAGCCCCTGTTCACTCAAGCCAGAACCCAAGCCTCCCAGAGACCCCCATCTGCAGGACTGTCTGCCTGCCTTTCTGAGGCTCTGCACCTCTGTCCTCTCAGCTCCTGGAGATTGGAGACACACACTCGCCTACCTGGGGGTGCACACCTTTGTTGGGGTGCTTTCTCTGAGCCAGGTGCTACAGGTGCAGGCAGGCACAGGGGAGGGTGTTCCCTGCGCACCCCCAACCCCAGATTTCCCATGTTTGTATCCACCCTGTGGACGGCAGGGAATCGTTAACGCTGCGTCTAGAGGAGCTCCTGGGGAGGCCTTGATTCTGCTGAGAGCCACCAAAGCCCGTGGGATGCTCCTGGGGCTCCCCCTCCCCCTCCACGGTGGATATGGGGCAGTGGATGGGTCTGTGGCCACGCCACTCCATCCATGCAAAGACCTGCGTCATGGGCGGAGGCTGATGGTCCAGTTCAGATGGTGGCAGCGCGGCTTCCACACCCCCACCCGTGCTCCATCTTCCTCTGTGGGTGCCCTTGGACAGCTCGTGTACAGTGCATACACGCTGGTCATTGCATGTGCGGGCAGGTGTGTAAATGTGCATGTATGTGTGTGCCTACATGTGTGCACCTCTGTGTGCCTGTGTGTGCTAGGGTGTTCCCAGGAGCACCTACATCACTGATGAAGTCAGCGATGTCCAGGGGGCTGGTGGGCAGGGCTCGGAGTGGCTGGGGGTGCAGGCGGCCCTGTGGGGCATCTCTGCGAAGTGGCGGTGGCCCCAGAGGCAGGCTCAGTGCTGTCGGGTGACGCAGCTGGCTGATGTCGTAGGCATCCTGTGGGCGAGGACATGGAACAGAGCCAAGCATCCCTCGGTGGCTCCTGGCCAACTTGCTGTATGAAGGCCCGCAGCCTGTGTTCCTTGGAGACCCCTCCCTGCCCACACCTTCCCCCTCACCTGGTCTTCTTCCCCGCCTCCCTGCTCATCGTAGTTGAGGACATTGTCTCGAAGGTCGTCCTGGGGGCTCCCCAGAAGCCCCTTGCCCCGAGACTGCTGCTGGAACCGTGCCCGGAGCGCCACAAGCAGGACTAGCACTGGGGAATGAGGGGGACGCAGGCGGGGGCCAGACACAAAGCGCGACATCAGGGGGAGGGCTGCGAGGGAGGTGGGAGGAGGAGGCGGGCTGGGCAAGAGAATGAGGCCCGCAAGCAGGGGGCGGAGCTTGGGAAAGGGGCATGGCTGGTAAAATGGATCGGGGTTGGGTAGGAGGGGCGGGGTTGGGGAGAAGGGAGCGTGACCGGTAACGAGGAGTTGGGTAGGGAGGGGTGGCAGAACCTGGGATGAACAAGCGTGGCTGGTAACAGGGGGAGTAACTGGTAATGAGGAGGCGGGTTAGGGAGGAGGCGGCAGAACTGGGGAGGAAAGGGGGTGTCTGGTCACGGGGGCGTGGCTCGTAATGAGGGGCGGGGTTAGGGAGGGGAGGTGGAGCCGGGGGTGAAGGGGCGTGGCTGGTAATGAGGGGGCGGGGTTAGGGAGGTGATAGCGCTGGGGAAGGGGCGTGGTTGTAATTGGGGGCGGGGTTAGGGAGGAGGTGGTGGAGCCGGGGAGGAAGGGGCGTGGCTGGCAATGAGGGGGCGGGGTTAGGGGGCGGTGGAGCCCGGGAGGATGGGGCGTGGCTGGTAAGCAGGGGTTGGCCTGGAGAGGAGGGCCCGAGGGTCGGAGGGTCTGAGGGTCTGAGGGTCCGGGTGGAGGTGGGTGCTCACTCACGCAGCAGCAGGAGGACGCTGGCCAGCACGATGACCAGCGCGCCCAGGCTGACGCCCGCGCCCCCCGCCAGCAGCGCCGCGGACCCGGGCAGGCAGACGCCATCCTGGCTGCAGCGGCACACGGTCACGTTCAGCGGCTGCTCGCGCTGCTGGGGCGGCTGCCCGGAGTCCCAGAGCAGCAGGCTGAGGCGGTGCAGGCCTTCGGGGACCTGGTGTCGCGGCCTCAGGCGCGCGTGGCTCACTGCGGAGGGCGCCGTGGTCAGCGAGGGCCTGCGGGGGCCGCCCCCACCTCGCCTGTCCTCTTCACGCCAAGACAGGGTGCGAGTCCCGAGATCCTGGGCCTGGGTACCCCCCATCCATCTGGGCGCGATGAGTAACCTTGCCCCGCGCAAGGATGCCGCCGGGGGTCCCCGCGGCAGGACCACGGCGTTGCGCACCCCTCGCCCTCCTGTCCCGTCCCCGGCCCGAGCGCGGTGGTGAGGGGAGCGCACCGTTGACCTGGCTGAGGCTCCAGTTCCGGCTGAGCTCTGGGAGCCTGGGGCTCAGCTGGAAGTGGAAGGGGGCCCCGTGGGGGGGCAGGTCTTCATCCGTGGCGCCCAGGAGGAGGCCGGGGCCCTGGTGTGGCTCACTGCACAGCCTGTCCAGCAGCGGCAGGGCCAGCACGGGGGCGTGGTCGTTCACCTCCAGGATCTCCACGGACAGCGTGCCGGTGGCGGTGCGGGGCGGTGAGGCTGCAGGCAAGGGGGCCACGGTTCGGTGACCCCGCCCCAAGACCCTGGACTGCCCCACCAGTAGCTCAGAGGGGTGCACCACTCTGAGCCCCCCTCCCCCCGGGGATGGGCAGAGCCTCGGACACCAGCAGGGGTGCTCGGCCTTCCGGGTCAGGGAGCCCCAAACTGCTCACCGTCATCCTGGGCCAGGACGATGGCTCTGTACCAGCCACCCTTGAGGAAGGGGGACACCGGGCTGAGCACCCGCTGGGTCTGGATCCGGCCAGTGGCTGGGTCCACTTGCAGCCAGTCTTCTGGGTCATAGTCCTTGGAGTAGCTGATACAGAGGAGGGGAAGAGTGGGATCTGAGCTTACCCCAGGGCCCCCACAAGTGTGGTCAGGCATGGGTGTACAACACACCTTACACACACATGCCACACGCGCTGCACACACCACATATTCACACATGCACACAACATATGCACACACATGCTTGAGCTTACATGCCACACACATGCACACACCACATGCATGCACAACACATACACGTGCACACACATACACATGCATAGACATTCCCACACCTGTGCACATCACCCATGCACACACACCTACACATCTCATGCATATAACACACGTGCACACAAATATGTACACACAGCCCATGTGAGTATGATGGGAGCTGGGCAGGAAAGGGGGTGTCTGGTCACCTCACTGGCACCTTCTGTGAGGTGAGGAAACTGAGGCTCAGGGAGGGCAGGCTAGCTGTGCAGGGCCCTGAGAGTCAGTGTCCTCCCCCAGCATCATGGAGACTTGGGGTGAAATGAGACATGAATGGCCCACCACTTGGGAGCAGGGGCCTCCTGAGATGGACGTGGCTGGCAGGGACAGACTGTGGTGTGCAGGCTGGAGCCGGGCCTGCTCTAGGGGGTGAGGTCGGTCCAACACGTACACATGGGTATGCCTGGGACTCGAGACCCTTCAGACCTTCAGGAACCCACACCAGCAGATGGCCCCTACACCCTCTGACCACCGGCAGATGGCCCCTACACCCTCTGACCACCGGCAGATGGCCCCTACACTCTCTGACCCTCAGAGCCCAGGGGCCAGGGGTGCCTGAAGCAGGAATGCAGCTGTTAGCCTCCTCAGCCTTGCCCAGGGCCTCAGGAGCCCCACCTCAGCCTCTGCAGCTGCTCTGTGTCAGGGTCCCGGGCAGAGAAGGTGGCCACCAGAGTGCCTGGGGGTGCCCCCTCTGCTAGGCTGGTCCGAAGTGGGTTTTCCTGGAACACAGGAGCCTCGTTGGTGTCCTGTACATGCACGCGGACCCTGGCCTGGCCCCACTCAGCCCTGGGGGCAGCCGCCTGCAGCGGGGCCTCATTCTCCACTGACACTTTGAGCTCG